TTCTAAAAATTAAAATTAATAATGGTTTCATTGCCACTTCTTTTCCTTTCAATCCGTTTTAGGCACATTTGGTTGCATCCCAAAGTTTCAGAGTACTTATGGTGCGGAATTTGTACAGGGCGATTGTTGTAGCGACTACGGGACCCATCCCTGTTGTTGGGGGTGCGGGATACTCCAAGAGCTCCCGGGGAGGAATTTTCGGGCCAAGCAGGGTACCCGGATCCATTGCCGGGTTTAACTCACAGGACACCCCCCCCCCCCCCCCCCAACTCATTTAGTGAGAGAAACTTGGCACGCTCGTCATGCTTCAAGGCATCGATGAAGGAGCCTTTTAACGATGTGCTCGTGGCTGGTTTCTAACTATCTAGACTTGCATGGTGCATGTGGTGCAGCACGGACAATGCACGTAGCACCATTGGAACAAGAGATGGAAAGCTACAGATGATCGTCGGCCACGGCTTCACTTCATCGCACCAACAGCAGCAGCAGCTTCGGGGAGAATCAACCAAACATTGACTTCGCCATTTCCCTGGGATCAATCGGTCCACACAAATCCACCTCCACCAGGCAAGCCCCGAATTCCTTCCTTCAAGCGTACACTCCACCTCACCTAGCTCGTCGTCTTCCCACCGTAGACTCGTGGCGTCTAGCAAACAGGGTCTACAACTAGCCAGCCAGTCCAGAATCGTCCATGACAATCGGACAGCAACTATTTGAGCAAAATGCCACCCAAAGTCATGGCACCACAATTTGACCTTGCAACATTGCACGAACCAGGCGGAGCGGTGAATTCAGTTTCCAGGCCTATCTTTTCTCGATCGCAGCCCTGGAATATGCTCAGGATTCAAAGACATCAGCACCATATGAGAGCTCATTCTTCGGCCCTCTTGCGGTGAAAAGGCAGTCAATCTCCATCATGTACTAGTCAATATCCTCCTCACATTTGTAAATGATTTTGTACATATGTATTTGACTAAATGTTTACTCTTCTTATAGTATTATTATTGTTGTTGTTGCTGTTGGGGTGATTCCTTTCTCCCTGCACAAGATTCTAGTGGCCAGGGTTGGCATATACTCTTCGTTCCTCATGTTTCAAAGTTGTGATTCAAAATTATTAAATCAATATTATTAGATTATATATATATATATATATATATATATATATATATTAGATTTTAATATTGATTTAATAATTTTAGATCTACAATAATGCATCATTTATTTTTTTCTACAATATAAATATATATATATATATATATATATATATATATATTAAAAAAAATATTATTCAAATACTGAAATCTGAAATTACATTTACATAGTAATATGATAATTTTCCTTTATGTGATCGAAGTATGACTTCACTGATGGCCACAAACAATTATTTTTTTCAAGTCTATTTTCAAAGTGTACTTAAAAGTATTTTATGCATCTTTAATGTACTATGGTAAGAAAAAAAATAATTTAGTTTAATGTAATTCGACTAAGTTACAAAATCTTTATACAGTATTTAGTGATAATTGTTTTTAATAATGTATAACCTCATATCTAGATTTTAAATGTTATTATAGAATGAGTTTATATTAAGTAATAGACTATACATACATTATGTTTATGTTTATATTCATTAAGATGATTATAAAAATATCGCCACTCTTATATATATATATATATATATATATATATATAAATTTTTTAGAATCTATAATCCTATAATTTAAAATAGAATTGTCTTTTATAACATATTTTCTTATATAAAAGCTAAATTCAAATAGCATCAAATTTGTACTATGTGATCAAAATTTATATGACTATTTGTAGTATTTACTTGTTATTATTACATTAAAAATATAACTTATGTTATGACGAAACAAATAATATTTTATTTAATTTTTTTTAATACACAAGAATTATTCATATAATCATAAATGAATAAATAAACCCATACATTAAAATATTGTAACAGAAAATCATTCTCATAAATGGATTTGAATATAGAAAGCATTTTTTTAATCTTTGGAATGAATTTGATATGGTTGAATGTAAGCCTTGATTAAAACATAATTTAATTAATTAATTTAGAAAAGTTATGTTTACACAATCATCCAGAATAGATAACAAAAGAAAATACTAAATATTAGAAGGATTCTTTTCAAAATTGGTTCCTTCATAACACTAGTTTAGATTGCACAATTAATTGATTATCAAAAGACATAAAAGGATCAGAAATAACATAAAAACAATATCCTCAACAAGGAAGAATTGATTTTTAGAGATAACTAAAATTTGATCCTTAAAAAATTGAATATTATATATGAATTTTTTGAATCTGATTAATAAATAATTAAATAAACCAAATACTAAAGATATCATTGAATGTTTTTTGAAAGATAATTCAAATAAGACCAATACCTAAAAACACAAATTAAATATTATAATGCGGCTATATACTTAGCAAGAAAATAATCAATGTAAAAAGGAGATTATTGAATAAATCCACTTCAATACGATGATTTTATTCACAGAAAGTATTAAAATTGAGGAATGACGGTAGAATACATACAAACTAAATTGAAATATCTACGATCAAAATAGAATAGGACAAAGAATCAAGTTAACATTGAACAATGTGTAAGATAGTCTCCAATAGGCAAAGAAGTCTTGTACTGTCAAAAGTCTCATTTTTGACTTCATACCAATACTTGTGGGACAACTTTCATTATCAACTTGGTTTTCAAATATGTTTCAAAATTAAACCCTCCATTCAGAAACAAAAGTGCATTTGATATTCTATATTATATATATAAATTCAGTGAAAACAATACTACACCAACAAACTTCAACAAAATAATTTGGCTTCTAACAGGATTTATAAGGAAAACTCAGAATAAAAGTTTTACTCTTTCATACGGAAATATACAAAGATTAAAAATTTAAAAACTGTGTCTAAGGTATCATAAAAACAATAATTTGGTTATTGCTGCTATATGCATATGATGAAATAATCATACCAAATAAATATATATATAAATAACATAATTTTACTTGGTTCAAAGAAATTTCTATATTATTAGCAACTATGGCAAACAATATTTTGCAATGCATGTGATCTTGTTATTATGATAAAAGAAATTTTTCTCTCTTATACTTTACATTTATATATATAGATATATATATAGATATATATATATATATATATATATATATCTCTTTCTTTATATATATATATATATATATATCTCTCTATTTATATATATATATATATATCTCTTTATATATATATCTCTCTCTCTTTATATATATATATATATATATATATCTCTCTCTCTATATATATATATAATATATATATATATATATCTCTCTCTCTCTCTATATATATATATATATATATATCTCTCTCTCTCTCTCTCTATATATATATATATATATATGTCTTTCTCTCTCTCTATATATATATATATACATATATATATATATATATA